TTCTTTAAAATACATAAAATTATATAATTATAGCAATATAACAATGTACCCTTGGGTTTGTAACATACAGGTGTAATACATACAATAATTGCTAAAAAGGGAAGAAAGAACAGAGCTATACAGGAGTAACATTTCTATCACAGTAGAATAAAGTTAGTATAAATCAGGAGTATATTCTGATAAGATAAATTTTCTAAGCCCCAGGGTAACCACTAAGAATATAAATTTTAAAAATAACTAGAAGTCATTAAAGAACTTAAAATGTTACACTAGAAAATATTAACTTAATGCAATATAAAAGCAGTAAAGCAGAAAAAGAACTAAAAAGATATTAGACATGGAAAACAAAAGTAAACACAGAAAAGGAAAATTTGATCTTATCAATGACTTTAAATGTGAATGGATTAAACATCAAAAGGCAAAGATTATTAGTCTGCATTTTAAAAAAAGATCCAAACTATAAGCTGTTTATAAGAGATGTACTTTAGATTCAAATATACATAAAGGTTGAAAGTGAAGAGATGAAAAAGATATGCCTTACAAACAGCAATCATAAGAGCGAGAGTGAGTATCCGTACTGATATAAGACAAAACTTTAAAACAAAAAAAGTTACTAAAATTAAAGGACAATTTATATCCTCAAAAACGTCTACTCATCAGGAATATAACATATTATAATATATAAACATAAATGTGTTTAATATCAAATCTCAAAATATATGAAGCAAATGACAGAAAAGAAGGGAGAAACAGACAATTAAACAATGATAATTGGAGATTTCACTACCCTACTTTCAGAAATGGAGAAACTAGGCAGAAGATCAACAAGGATATTGAAGACTGGAACACTACAAATCCACTAGAACTAACAGGAATGTGTAGAACACATCACCTAACAACAGCAGAATGCACATTCTTCTCAAGCACAAACTGGACATTCTACAGAATAAACTATATGCTAGGACATAAAACAAGCCTCAATAAAATTTATAAACTGAAATCATACAAAATACGCGTTCTACAAAAAAGAAAAAGAAAAAAGGAATCAAATGAGCTCTCTTAATAACAGAAGGAAACTCATGAATTTGTGGAAATTAAGCAATACACTCCCAGATAACCAAGGTCTCAACAACAGAGAAAAATTACAATGGAAATTTGGCAATATTTCAGGTGAATTAAAACAAAACACAATGAACTAAAATTTATGGCATACAGCTAAAACAGTGCTTAAAAATTTATCAATGTAAACACCCATATTAAAAAGATTTCAAATCAATAACCTAAACTTTCATCTTAAGAAATAGTAAAAAGCACAAACTAAAACTGAAGCAAGTGAAAGCAAGGAAATAATAAACACTAAAATTGAAATAAATAAAATCAAGATTCAAAAGGTAGAGGGGGAAAATTAGAAAAAGTTAAGAAACCAAAGTTTATTTCTTTGAAAAGACCAACAAAAAATTGACAAAATTTAGCTAGACTCACAGGGTGGGTGGATGGGGATGTAGTCTTCCAATTACTAAAACCAGAAAAGAAAGAAGGGGCATTTATTATCAGCCTCACAAAATAAAAAGGGTTATATGGTATTATCAACAAACCAGATAACCTAGCTGGAATGGACAAATACCATGAAAGAAATGATGATAAATGATTCATGAAAAATATAAACTCTCAAAAGACCTATAGAAGGTAAACAGATGAAATTAGTAAAAATAATACCCATCTTTTACAAACTCTTCAAAAAAGTAGAATAGAGAGAGATGCTTCCAACTCTACTTATGACTCTATAACCCTGATACCAAAACCCAACAACAACAAAATCCCAAGAAATCTATACACCAATACCTATTATGACTACAAACACAAAATTCTTCAAAAAAATTACTAGCAAAAGAAACCAGCAACATACCAAAAGGATTATACACCATAACCAAATGGCAAATATAACCACTAATGCAAGGTAGGTTCAACACATGAAAATTAATTAATAATGTACCGTACTGTACCATATTATTAGAATAAAGGGGAAAACCATCAGGTCATTATAAAAGATGCGGAAAACATTTGACAAAATAAAATTTAACATCTTTACATAAATATGCTCTAAAAACTACAAATAAAAGGGAACTTCTTCAACCTAATTAAGAGCATCTATAAAAATTCCATTCCTACTTAATGTTAAAAGACTTGATAGCTTTATACAAAGACCAGGACAAGACAAAGATGTCTGTTCTTGCCACATCTATGCAACACTGTATTGGAGGTTCTAATCAAGGCAACTAGGGAAATAAAATATATAAAAGACATCTGTATTGGATAGGAAGAATTAAGACTATCTCTATTTGCAGATGACATGCTCTTAAATAGAAAAATTATTAAAAATACACACAAAATTATTAGAATAAATAAGCAGTGAAGCAAGATTGCAGGCTACAAGATTAACATACAAAAGCCAACTGTATTTCTAAACAGTGACAATGAATAGTTCAAAAGTGAAATTAAAAATAAATAATTCATTTTACAATAACACCAAAAGATTAAAATACTTAGAATTTAACAAAGTGCAAGACATAAACTGAAAACTATAAAATACTGTTGAAAGAAATGAAGAATGACTAAAGAAATGGAAAGATATCCCATATTTATTGATCAAAATATTTAATATTAAGATGGCAATATTCCCAAAACTAATCTACAGATTCAATGCAATTTCATACCTGCTACAACAGTCTCCTGACTCCATACTTTAATCCTGCTCTGTTTTCTTACCTTGGTTCCTCCTGCTATTTATTCCTTCCCTCCCTTCTTTCCTCTGTGCTCTTTGAAATCATTGTTTTTAATAAACAACCTTTCTCAAAAATTTTAGACACTACTCCCCAACTTTTTGCCTTAAAAAACTTGATTTTCCTCTTGATAATATTGTTGCCTTTGCAGCCTTCTGAAACATGACTCTGGAAGGAGATATGGAAGTTGGCATTTAACTATCTCTCACAATGATTTCCTTACCATTATTTTCCACCTTCTTCAAATAAACAAACTTAACATCAACAACAACAAAAAACCAAACACAAAAAATCTCTTGGAAACTTAAGCCACAAACAGCTTCAATTCAATCCTCCATCTATCACGTTCTCCTTGCAACTCCCAGTTACTTCCACTCATTGTTTGAAGACTTCAAAGTCTGGAACACAGGCTTTCCCTAAACCCCAAATCCCACATAATCTCAAAATATTTAAATACAGTTAATCAATCCAATTAGCTAGCCTCCAAATCTCAATTTTACTTTACCCCAGTGATCTTTATTCAACTTCTACTATCTAACCCCAGGGCCAAGCAATGGATCTTATCACCCTTCAGACTGATTCTCATTTAAATGTACTACCTTGCTCTGATGAAAATTACCCATTCTTGTAGCTCTCTCAGTAACCCATACCCACTTCATCTATTAAACTTCTGTTCTATTTTCTCCCAGACTAACAA